TAGATGTCATTTAACATGTATGACTTCGTGATGCTTGTATGCATTTGGCACAGTAAGAGCCACTTTAACAGAAAAAAACATCACATATTCAAGTTCTACTACAAGAGATAATAATGTTAGTGCTGGGTCCCTCTAGATGATGGTCCCTCTCAACCAGTGTCCCGAAATGTTATGTTTCACAAACATCTACAGTACATCACATATATTACTGATAATACTACAGCAACTTTCATACTGGACCTCAGACCTCTATAGATTAAGGGTAAAATGAAGTAAATGAGAAGCAAAGTTACTGAGCGAACTCTGTGCTGTAATTTTGTGAAGATGCGAAAGAACCAGGGAAGGACCTGGAAGCTCCTCTTTAGGTGATTGACTTCATAATGTGAAGGCTTTGCTAGAACAGATTGTTTAGCTACCGTTTCTGCATTTTATCTAAGATAAGATGGAAATAGAAAACTTTGAAAGATCCCTGTAAATCAAAAGAACACATGGCAACAGTAACAAAGCAGAACTTAATCTCAGATCAGAAAATAAATATTAAAGCAAAAAATGAAAGAAACTTTTTGACAGGGTAATAAATTGGTTTATATTTTAACCTGAATAAAAACTTTAATATCAAGGTATAAATGTAGGATTAATAGATATAGCTTAAGTTTAATAATTAAGCATTAGCAACTTTTCCTATTGATCTCAAGTGGCACGCAAACACCATGGTAATTGGTATACTATACATCCATAGCTAACTAGTTACCTAAGAGCTTTGGAGAGCTGCCTTACATTGGGTTTATTACACAGCATCAAAGAATCATGAAAGAATCACGGACAAACTGAGTTAAAGTTAGCTTTCAGGGTGATTTTTAGACAATAAAAAGAAAGACACTTTATAAACCTATCATAGTCCTAGCACAGATTTACTGTCAAAGCATTTTGCCTGTAGCAAACAACACTGTTCTTTAAGTGAAGCTGCATCTGTACAGAGTTCAAATGAACAGAGAGCTGAAAAGTAGAGAGCTCTGACTCCAATCAAATGAATGACTGTTTTGGCTTCATAATATGGTTTCCAGCCCTAACTTTAATCTAAATCAAATGCCTATCTTTCTTGCTGTTCATGCAATGCAACCGCAGCACATGCTTAAGTATAGGAAAATTGCAAGTGCCTAACTACATCAAATTGTCCTTCCATCTAGTCTGGAATCTACATCAGGCAGAGGATAATACCTTCTGTTGCAGAAGAAAGAAACTATTCTCCATCACTAATTCATTTAGAAACTGTTCCGCAGATCGAGCCAAACAGCTGCTGGGCATGGAGATCTGGACAATCAAACAGGCCTTTTCTGTTTCTAAACTTAAGAATCCTCCTCCCAAGCAGTACAGCAACATCGGAGAGTTTTTACAGTGCTATGCTAGCAGGCCTGGCGTCTACCAGGTACAGAAACTCTGCTGGCAAAGTATCTGGATAGCAAAATACCTCGCGGCATTAGCTCTGCCATAAGAATCTCGCTATAAATTAGCCCTCCAAGGCAGAGCTCCATGGCGTGAAGACCCCATCACATCCCAGCAAAACCCACGAAAATTCTCTTTGCCTAGCTCTCAATTGAATGAACAATCCTGAAATGGGGAACTGAATTTTTAGGTGGTGTCTCTTCATGACCTCCTGGAACAGCAAATTTGCAGGTCAGTTACAAGCTGCTTAACGAGGCCTTTCATTTCCCTGGTTCCAGTGATGCTGTTCCTGCCATTTTAATGTTACAGCCCTGATCTGCCACTGCTTTTCTCTTTGGTGTTCTCAGCCCCTGAGACAAGCTTCGGTGCAGCTCACGAGATTTGCATAAGCTGTGTGTGTGCAAAACTTTGATGTGCGTTGTCCCCACTGCCTTAATGCGTGCCTCCGAGTATTTGAAAAGTGGCAACAAGTCAATCAAAAGCTGGTTAATTCAAATGAAAACCAGCTTCTGGTGCTTAATACACCCCGTTATATTTTGTTTGTCATTATCTCTCCAGACCAGTGACTCAGCCCTGTAAAACCTTCAGCTTGATCACAGTGTTGACACATGATACCAGCCGTTCGGCTTCCGTGGACTTCTATTTATGACTCCTCTCCTCTTCTGCGAAAAAGCCTAGCAAGATAAATGAGCCTCAGACTATTAAATACCATAAAGACCTTCACAAAAGAATGGAAACTCTGCCTTTTAGCCTTAACCAAATGATTTAGCAAATGTTTTGGATGAATTTCTAAACTGAACTGGCTTCAGCAAAGAACTCCAGAAGCGACCCAATCCCTCGTTGTTTCCCTGCAGCCCTGCCGGCCTCAGACGGTCGCCCGTCTCAGCTGGGCCTCAGCATCTGTCACACAAAACCCATTGCCAAAAGCAGAGTCCCTCGTGGATCTCCTGATGTCTCTAGCTCCACACACGCGTACAGGTAGGTAAGGCGTGCAATGGGTAGTTTTTAATATTTAAACAGAGGACTGTGACATGCCTGATGCCATGAAGTGCATCCTGAAGCCCTAGACATTACTCTGAAGTACTTCCATTAACAGTTCAGTGCATAAAAAACAGACACTAAATGCCAAGCCACTGCCATGGGACCCAATCCAAAGTCCATTCACTTAAATGGGAGTCTTTCCAATGACCTCAGTTTGCTTTGGAGGATGAAAATGGTCATTAAAAAGATAATTTCTATGGTTGTTTTAACTAACAAGAGGAGGTGGAAAGTAGCCAATTTCCCAACACTCATGAGCTGTTATATAGATTAGACCTTCTTACTCATGATTAAGTTATACCTTACCACTCAAATAGTCCCCATGGCATTGAAAAGGGCAAGATACTGCTTAAGGGAGGAAATACACCTGTACGAAAATGCAACTATGCAAAGATGGTGGTAAAAACCCCCAAAACTGGTGGAAAAACTGTAATTTGTTTTGCAAACACACCAGGTCACTGCAAAGAATGAACAAGTTCCTGTTAAGAACTGTGTAGTATTTATCAGAATGCAAAATGCCTCATTTTAACTTCGTGAAAGAACAAACATTTGGACTCCCCGATTCATTTTTTTTCTTTTGGGTTAGGTGACACAATTCTCGTCTGCAACTTGACAGGATGTAGAAAATAATTACAAATGAAAAGGTTATTCATAATTTTTAAATGAGTTAATTAGTAAACCCCGCCAGAGTCACTCATTACAGTAATTAATAATTGATTATACTTGAAATTAAACACAATTTTTCATCAAAATCTAATTAAATATCTGCCTTTTTACTTGTTGATTAGAACACTGGGTCTGGTAGAGACAATCTTTGCTAAATATGTTTATGCTGAACTGAACCATCGAATTTGATTTTTAATAATTGATAGTTCCTTCAGAAATTAGTAATTATGACCCATAATTACAGCAGTTCAACCTGATCAGCACTTCTGGCACCTTGCCAGCCATCCGTGGAGCCTGGTAAATGCCACAGAAGGCATCCGAACGGAGAAAAAAGGATGGGAGAGCACCCAATGGACCTGCCTCTTAACCACACTAACTGATTTTAAACAGGAGCCTGATCTTATCAGAACTCTGAAATAGGTTTTTGAGTTGGAGAACACCGAATGGCAAACCAAACTCGTCTCAGTCTAGCAAAAGGCACACACCCTCTCCATCAGAATTCAGAGGCACCGCTACTCTGAGTTATAACGATACTCCTCTGATACACTGAGATAATGTCCAAAGGAGCCATGGTCAGGGCATAAGGAGAATACCAGACAAATGAGAAAGGTGAGTCCAAATGTACATAGCAAATGATGAAAACTGACTGCATATTTCATCAAACTGCTGATGATTTAATGTTGGTTAATTAATCATTCCTGCTTCTCTTACAGGAGGCATAAAAGTGACCAGAGTATGATGCAAGGCAGAAGTGGAAAAGTATCAGTCATTAAAGAAGTGTACATAAAAGGAACACAGTAAAAGCAGTCCTTTGTGGTAGTGCTAATTATACTCATGTGAAATGAAAGCAAAAATCTTTCGATCCAGGCTAAGATTTGTAATTCTAACCACAACCTTTTATAGATCATTAGTGTTCAGGAAGTCACAGTGAAATCAAAAAGACTCGTTTGTGCCATGAGAAATGGGCTTTTTTACCTATGATCACATCTGTAAGTGTCTGACAACTACGGTTTGCACCACTGACAGTTTAAAATAGAAGTCTAGGAACGGACCTCTGTAAGACATTTGCAACACAAATATCAAATCTAACTGAAGAAAAAGTAATGGCAACACCCCAACTTTACAAGCTTAAAAATACAATTTTCACTTCTAACATTTCAATTATTTCTGCAACAAATGCTGAGAATGCTTTTTTGCAATGAACCATGACAACTCTTACAAACCAAAGAAATTCAGATCATGCACAATGCAAGAATAATACATTGCTTCTCCACCCAAGTAGCCAGTTTCCTCAACTCCCCTACTCAAAGCAGATCCTGTTGGACTGCAGTCTAAACTCAGTCTTTCCCCATCCTCCAGGTCACCCTGTGAACTTCAATATCATGGGTTAAATGGTTAAGATGTGCCACCAAAAGACTGTATAAAACCATGTTTTTGTGTGCCAGGATCTTGGTTCCGACCCTGCTCCCATCAAAGTCAACAGCCGAAATTTCCCACGGACCTGGATGCAACTCTGATTGGGACATCGACCTCACTGCTTGCTTTAATGGGCTGCTTTGAGAAAGCCTGGTGGGTCCGTCTCACTCCAGGCACATTTCCTTCTGCAGAAGGTAAACACTCCATGCCAGTAAAGGGAGGACAATGTATGACTCTTTTTTTACTAAGCTCTTCTGGCTCTACGACATATGTTAGTCTCCTACCATAGCACCGCAACCTCAATTAAGTTAACAGAGGCCTTATTTCCCCAGTACTTTGTGCCATGACCTTGACCTTCTGGTTCCCAAGCATTAGCATTATGGGTGAGTCTGTAGAGAAATGAAAGAAAAGCAGAACCCCCCCACAAATAAGCTTACCTATGAAATACGCCAGCAGGATCACCAGCGTGACTGAGATGACGATGGCACTCAGAGCAGCGCATTTCCAGTTACAGTACTTATAGGGTTTCTTCAGGTTAAAGGCAGGCCTAGAGAAGGTACTTCTGGGAAGGGGCCTAGGGGGAGGTGAGTACACAGTGCTGGACGTCAAGGGATATCCCGGCGACGTTGTACAAAAAAGGGGAGAAGTGCCTCCAGGTTTGAACAGGAAGTGCCTGAGGGAAGAAAGACCAACAGCAAGTGACTCCTCACACGGATGGAAGCCGAGGGAGACGTGGGGTGGGAGGATGGCGACTGCTGCCGCGACGAGGAAAGCAGCTCCACACAATGCTGGCTACGGACATGGATGGCATGCACGAAAGAGAAGAATAAAAATCAAAGGCAAGTCACACAGAGTAAAGGGAAACAAAACAAAACAGAAAAATCACAGTGCCAACAATGCCACAGAGAACTTTTCAAGGCCAGGAGTCCCCTCTGTGGAAGAGCTGGCGTTAGAGCGAGATGAATATCCCAAGCACAGCTACGACAGACTGGTGGCACGGGCAGCACCGGGGGCCTGATCACGCTCCCACAGAAATGCCCTATGGAGACTGAAGAGGAGCGTGGGTCGGATTAAAGAGGGGAGGGAGTTTACCAATTCATTGATCACTGCATGAGAGCTTTGTTTTTTTTGCATGGCATCGGTGAATGGAGACGGGGAAAGAAAGCGTAAGCCATTCCGTAGCACCCAAATTGTCACAGAGGGGAATATTCACACTGTCCCCGCCTGGCAAATCTAAGCGTCGGACAATGGCGTGGCTAAAAGCATCAAAGTCCAGAACTTGAGTCCTGTGTATTGCCAGTGGGGAGAGGCACCTGCTTCCAGAAAGCAGTCCACAGCACCTCAGTTTGATGCCTGCCTTTAAAAAGTGTGAATTACTGTCAAAGGCAAGAGCGTTTCCAACCAGTGACACATTGGGAGGCAACGCATATTGCCTGTTACTACAAACGCAGCCTGAGAACCAGCCGGTGAGGACCCGGTGCGAGACTCATGAAAGTCAGTGCAAAAAAACCCCACTGCAGTCCATGAGTTCCTGAAATGAAATGTCCCAATGGGAGTTCTCTCCACAGGAACCCCCAATGAAAAACCTAATTTTGGTGGGACATCATGAACTGCGAGGCATTCAGGATTTGGAAATGAAACGTGGGAAATGGATCTGACTCATCTATCACCATGCTGATGTAAAATGAAAATGCAGCTTGTGAGGACTGAGAAACAGCCCCAGTGCACTTTGCACCTTCTGCATGGTTTTTGGGGCCAGATTTGCAGGCAGTGTAAATGCAGTCAGCATGGGTCCATGGGAGTCAGTCAAGCCAGTAGATTATACCAGATGAAGACGTGACTCTTTTTTCCCCCGAAGTTGCCTGTGCAGTCACAGGGGGAAATATCACATGCAGAAACATCACCATGCAGAAAAGCCATTGATTCATGCAACATAAATACATAATTCTCAAAAAGAGGTGTTTGTACTATTACAGCCATAGTTTTATTGGTACTCTAAGCATGACTGCTGAGCATTAGAGAAAGATTCATTATTTCTACTAATGCTCTGCATCAAAACATGTGTTTTTACAAAGAGTCAGATACTATCCTGTGTTTTGGAAAGTATTTATTTAGACACAGATGTATCTGTCCTGAGCAAAGAGGTACCTGCAGTGTTCAAGTATACCAATTAAACCTTCAGTTAATGATGGCTACCAAGTTAGAAACTGCCAACACAAGTTTTGGCACCAAGTGCAAAATTAAAAGCTGCTTATAACTTAAAAGTTAGGTGATCAAAAGTTAAGTAAAGATGCCAGAATGGGTGGTCAAGTCAAAATCAAAGACTTGGCTTACATATACCACTAGCAGACACTTGTAAGACACGGTATGTGGAAAATATCAGTTTAACAATGAAGTATCTGGCTGCCAGCACAATAATGGTTTAAGATTTTTATGAAAATTAAATTAATCTTAGTTTATATGAGACTTGAAATTGCTGTAGGTACTTCTTACTAATGAAACGACTTTCACAACAACAAGGTAAAAAAAGCAAATGGCATGCTGTGGCTCACTAGCATATTAATGAGTCTGCCATTAATATGTACAGGACACAGTGCTCCAAGCTCCAGAAACCTCATTTTTTTAAAGTCATCTTGGAAGAGGCCAGCAATGGTGTTGCCCTTAAATGTCATTGATACGACCAAATGCTTTCATGCAAGGATCATAATGACTGTACAGTAAACAGGAAGACCACGTAAGTGTCACATACCCATCATTGTAAGCACCGTCATGTCGAGAGGAGGTGAGAATGTCCATCTCAATGAGGTTGTCCTGCAATGTCTCTAGGAATGTCTGCTTTGCTATGTTTCTACATACATATGGAAACATGAATGAAGCCAGTGAGTCATGCATATATGAAGTGTGATCTTATAAACCACGACGGTTATAGTGCAGTTGTGTATGGAATTAGAATGATGGACTATATATTTATATGTATAAGATGCTACACATATACATATAAAGCTTTTAAGAATGTTCAGTTCTCTCTATATACACTATATATATGCATATACACACATACAAGCACACACGCCCACATGCATGTATAAAACAAAGTTGATGTCTTTGTTCCTCTCAAGTTATTTATTGCCAGTGACACACAAAACCTTCTGAACTGCTGGATTCAGAAGACAACATTTCAATCCAGCACAGCTGTACCCTTGTTACTCTCCTGCATCTGTGTTGGTGTTACTCTGAAAAGGCACAGCACAGTATCTATATCCCACTGTGGCCAAAACCTTGGTAGTACAGTTCCATCTAATGTCTTCATGGAATTCCAGTGAAAATTTGCTGCTCTTTTGCTTAAGTTTCACTTTTGCATTTGAGAACTTTTTAATTACCACTTTGATTAATTTGTTTTCCTTTGTGGAGCAATAACTTGCTATTTAGAAGTTTCAAAATGAAAGTTTTGCTCAACAGGAGTATTCCAAATAGAAGTCTCTCAGTGATAAGCAGATAAAGGCTGGAAAATGGTTCTGCTGTAACCCAAATTCCAGCACCAGAGTATTGGCTGTAATCTGGATAATACAGGCAACAGGCAAGATACTCAAGGCCTGCATGTGAAAAAGCCTGGGTTTGACTTTTGCATTTTGCAGTATCTGGACTCCTCAGCATGCACTTTGATGAGTCACATTTTGACCTCTATATGCTAAACTGTCTTGTACTTCTTGAGGAGAATAGCAGGAACATAACGAATTAAGTCAGAGGCACAGCTGGGAACAGACTGTGTCTTTCTTGCCTTCAGGCTTGTTTCTCAAGACCTGGCAAAAGAACATTCTTCCCATCTTTTTTAAAACAAAAACCAGTCCTGATTTTGCCAGTGTCTGTTTTCAGCATCAAAACTGAATCTAAGCCTGAACGTGAATAAATTCCCTGGCCAAAGCTAGCAAAAGGAACGTAACAGCATTGTGACACTTTATCACTTAGGCAGGATTAAGCGCTTACAGGATGTAAGTGACATGATGTGAACTCAAAGGAGAACTCCTCTGTCAAAGAAACTGCATTCAGGTAAGATGTTATACCAAGAGAAAGCAGCCCTGTCACATTATACAAACCTTAATACCATCTCTTCCAAAATGTCCTCATCTTTAGTTTTCATTTCTATTTCCTCCTCTTCCTGCTGCTAACACCAGCACTTGCTTAGCTCAGCTCGCTGCTTGGTGGCCTCTGGGCTGCTTTGACAGAACAGATCTACTCCCTGCTCTGAATAAAAGTAAAGTGACTCCTATTCATAGCTTTGGAGTGAAGTGGATCAACATGCATGAGCTGTGTGCCATAGCACTTGAAACATCAATCCATCCCTGAGTGTTTGCAGCTTCCTCACATTCCCTGGGAATGCAGGAACAGTTGGATGTTGATTTCAATGCAAAAAGACGCAACACATGTGCATGCACTGAGCATTTAATGGGTAAGAGGCAAGACATCTAGCAACACACCAATCAATAAAAGTTCATCAGTAGTTAAAATCCATGTCAAATTGGTTCCATGAATTTCACTTGTGGATTGTCAATAAAACAGAAGAGGGGAGGGTTATATAATCTTCTACTGTATGTACTTGTAATAGAGAGGTCGCTGGGTCACCGAGGTGACTAATGCATGACTGTCCTGCTCCCTGAAGGCTGGACAGTCGGCTCCCTTGGAGATTACCTGCGAAGAGCTGTCTAGTTAGAAACCACTCTCCCTTCTCATTACGAGCTGTGGTGGCAGAATCTGACCTTACACAATTACCACATGAAATTTCCTGGGAATGGAAGTCTCCTGAAAGCTGCTGGTTTGTCAAGTAAATGTCCAGCTAGTTGGCATTTATTTGCTCCCGCAAGGTCACATACAAAGGAACAGAAAGGAGGCCACCGAAGAAAGAAGAGTCTGGAATAAATACAGGGAGAACTGACTTACCTGTCAGGAGTGACTGCTGAGCAAAGATCTTCTCATCACAACCTTGATAATATATTGCTTTTAAAGCAACAAAAAAGGGAGCAGACAGGAAAAGAAAGAGGAAGAAGGAGAAATAGAGAACAGGGAGTAAAGGGAAACTCAGGAAAAGGAGGGAGAGAAAAGGAGGGGCTCTTCCTCTTGCAACATATAAATTTCTCAGGTACAGGATATGCTTCTCGTGTCAACTTTACACTTGTGCTACACATCTCTGCCTGCCTTTGCATTACTGTATGGAAATTTCCAGGCAGTGACAAACCATCTTAAATTCCCAGTTCCGAATACTGCCTGGAGTTCACGGCAGTCAAAATCAAGCCTCTTCAAACTGGGGCGCTGAAAATCCGTAACCGTAGGCACGTTTCACAGCCTGTGACAATCCCTGTTTAAAAGACGTAGCTTTTTCTTCATGTTTTCTCTCTCTGTTGACTAATATGGGATTGAAAAAAAACGGATATTCAACAGAAATACAATTCCATTTTTGACATCAGATTACTATAATCTCCTATTGCTTCACTTCAAAGGCCTTAATTCTTGGATTAATGTCTCTTGGCTAGGATTTATTCTATTACATATTGGACATTTTATTCTCTTAGGTGGAGGTCTTGTTTTGGTTTTAAAAATCTTTTCAGTGGGGAAGGTTGACTTCAGCCTTGGAAGAAGATTGACTTCTTCCAGCTTCATGGAAGAGTTGGAACTGGGCATCCAAGTTTGCTGAACAGCTCTGAAGCTTGGTGTTTTCTGTCTGCACAACTTCCACCAAAGGAATGACACCATTATAACACATTTTCTTTTCTTAATGTTGTTTAGTGAAGGAATAAAGCCTGTCAGTCATGCTCTGTAAATGCGCTCATTTGCTGTTTAGCATAAAATTACACATTCTTTTCAAACATGTTCATTGTCTGAAGGGACACTGCGCAAAATTACACCATTCCAAACCAGTGTGTCAAAAGCTGCAACATCAGTCTCAAAATGACCTGTTTTCTACCTAATTAAAAAAATGGCTAAATTGAGAATCAATTACAAATGTGACTGATTAGTAACGCAAGTGAAACCACCAAATGCTGCAGAAGGATCTCTTCATGCAGGTGGACCTCCAACACCCAGTCTGGTTAACAGCAATAACACGGCCAACCCAACTTGCAGAACGAACAGTCTGCTTCAGATCTTGAAAAATTTTGTTCCATAATGATTTAATGGAGAAGAAATGAGGACAATCTTGAGGGATGTACTCATCTACAATTTAACAGGAACAGTCCAGGACTAGCCAGATAATTCTTCTGTCTATGAACTCCTGCATTTATTAAGATGTGGTGGGGTTGTCTCTCCATCTCCCTCTCTGATTGCCAATGGAATTGGACAAATGGGGGCAGGACGTTTTCAGCAAAGACCTTTTATCTCTGACTTTGCTCCATTGATCCAGCAGCAAGGATGTTCCTTCTCAGTTGTCAGGTGGTGGGTTCGGAGAGACTCCAGTCAGACGTGAGGATGTCTTGGTACTATTAATACAGTGTATTATCCCTTCTCCAAAAAATTCACAACCTGGTTTAGAGAAAGGCACAGGGCTTCCTCCAGAGTTATAGACAATTATTCACAAAAGGGTGCAGGAGTCAGGACCAAGTATTTTTTAATGTAATTTTTTTTTTCCCAAAAGAAATAACACTTAAAAGTCACTGCTTGGCTATATATGCTCAAGAATTTGTAACACAATATAATTACTGAAACTGTTGCCAAATCACACTTGCAGTACTTGCTTATAATTTTGTCTTTATCTTTTGGATCCACCTTCTTAGTTGGGTCTTATTAATCAAGCCTCCACAGAGAAATTAATTATCCTTAAATTCCATAAAATGTTAGACTGCGGTCTGGTTTGGAAGTTTCAGAGGGCCTGCAGACATAGCTCATTCTCAAAAAGATTGACAGGCGTGTTGATTTTTAAAAACTGTTTTCTTAGTGGAAACTGGCAAAACTGGGTACATTTTGTCCCAGGACACAGGCACAGCTACCACTGATCTCCGTGACATTCCCACAGGCAGTGACATGACAAATTTGGCCCCTGCTCCAGTTTTCAGTGAGTATATATTTTTTGCTGTCTAAAATCTTTCTTGTTGGTTTGAGAAGGTAAGACAAATGAGGGAAAAAAGGCAGCTAAGTGCACAATGTTAGGCCTGGAAGACTTCTCCCCAGACTCAGAAAGATACTGTGTATGACTCCAGCACCTTCAGTGCAAAAGAAATGGCGAAACAAAACCTCTGAAGAATGTAAAAACTGTGTTTCAAGTGGGACAGCAAGAAGTAGATGTGCTCACCATCAGGTGGGAGGGCTGAGGCTGAGGGAGAATGACAACTCCCTTTCCCAGAACCTACACAGAACCTAAATAAAGCAATGAACTAGAACAACTCAGTGCACCCTTGTCACACTCTTGGTGTGTTGCATAGGTGGAAAAGAATTTAAATGCTAAATGGAAACATCATTAATTGACTGATGCTCTGCTATCCAGTGTTTCACGCTTGCTGGAGCGATGTTGTAGGATAGTAAAATGCAGCAGCCAACCTCTCCTCATTAGCTAAAACAAGAGCAACCTTTCCTGAATGATGTACTACAGAAGTATCTGCCTGATGAGGCACAGCTAGAAGGCTAAATCTTTTCAATATATTGACTGATTTCAGTTTCTTAAATAGATTATTGATTTATCCTACCACATAGGAAGAAAAGACATTAAAGGAAAATAAAAGAAAGCAAACCAAGAACATTTTAATCTATGAACCTGATTCCAATTTTACATGAGGAAAATAACTTTCTGAGCAGCTGTTAAAGACAATATTTTTAGTTTATGAAAGAAGAGCAATTTCCTTTTCTCCGAGTCCAAATAAAAAGACAGAAGGAATAATAAACACAACTCAAAATACTTAAGCCAAATGGCCAGCCATACAGATGTGTATATTTTCCATAACATCCTTGGCACACACAATCAGAATGTTGTAAAGTACTAAAGAAAATGACCTACCTAGTCTCCAGCGGGATGTTACTGTTAAGTAACCAGTTGTCCTGAGCATGGGCTGGCTCTTGGGTGCTGGCTGGTTGTTCCCCAGAAAGAGAGTGGTCTGTAGGAGCTGGGCTGGGGTTGCTGCATGGAGTGAAGTTCCCTCTGTTTAGGGAATTGATAGAGGCCGCGTGATGTTGATTTGGAGTGTGAGCATGTGATATTGGAGGTGGTGGAGTTCTAAGTCTCGAATGATTTTGAAGATTTGGAGGATGATCTGAAACATAAGTAAAATATTTTTAAGGTTCATGATTTGAGTTGTTCCACAGAATCACAGAATCACAGAATGGTAGGGGTTGGAAGGGACCTCTGTGGGTCATCTAGTCCAACCCTCCTGCCGAAGCAGAGTCACCTACAGTAGGCTGTAGAGGACCTTGTCCAGGCGGGTCTTGAATATCTCCAGAGCAGGAGACTCCACAACCTCCCTGGGCAGCCTGCACTCCACACTGCACTCGTTCATGTGCAAGCAATTCTACAAAGTTTGAAGGCTGGGATGCCACATATCCTAAATCAGACTCAAAAGGGTAATGTAGCCTTCTCCCATATGCTCTAATGACACATGCATTGATCCCCCAGCCAGCTAGAAAAACAGTTCAGTTTCATGCACAAAAGTTAAAAAGCTTCAAGCACTGCAAAAACGCTGTCCTGACAGCCAAGTTAACTCCAACGAACAACTGCAGCTTGCAAACTGCAAACTATCTGTGACACTGATTTGTGATAAAGCATGAAAAATACAACCAACCTGGACAGATAACACTTTAGAGCAATTCTATGATGGATATACAGCTCCCAGTGAAGTTTGTTCTGCCTGTTTTGCCCAAGAACTTTCAATAGTTAAGTCAACAAGAAAACAGAGAATATATTTAATCATAGACGGAGTTTAGGTAAAGCCATAAAACTGTGTCAGGGTTAGATGATTTAATAAAATCCAACAGTTTGTACTGTTAGAGATGTACTCAAACTGAGTAAAAAATGCATGTGGCATAAAAACTAAGGTGTCAGAAACATGAAACAACATATGGTGAAGAAAGATGTAAAGAGCAGTTATATGGCTACTTTGAGTAAAACTCAAAGTATTTGTTAGCCAAGAGTCTGAGGGAGCTGGATTGAGGAAGGTAAACGTTTAGGAAAGACCAACCTAGTGCTCATTATATTGGTATTTTCAGTTTCCTAAGTAACTATCAGGGATTTTTTTCACACGTTTTTGGGAAACAAAGGAAAACTAAAATATTTGATGGAACTGGAGAGAGACTGACAGTTCAGCATACTGGATATGGGACACACAAGACTTATGTTTCTCTGATTTTAGTAGGTTTATGCTTGCAAGGCATTAATGCACCACACTTATCTGATGCCTTATCTGAAAAAAGATGTATATGGTATCTATTTAATACTTACCAGACAGACTTCTGCATCATGAAAAACTAATACTCATATACTCTCTAATGAGAGAGCTCAGAACTGAAGGAACTGTACATAGTCCTAAATTACAATGAAGAGTATCAAAAATCAACGTGACATTTAATGATACATATGAAATCTGGATTAGGACTTGATTCAGGAGAGGAACAGGGAAAGCATTTACAATATCTCTGTAGCTCATAAGATACAACAGAAAGATGCAAGAGGCACATCCTATCCCTTCTCTCCTCCCCCTGTACTGACTCACACTACCTTACCATTAACTATGGCTGACTATATCAAAACCTTAGGGTGGTTGAGGTGGTTTAGCAAAACAATATAAGGTGTTAATTATGAAGGTGCCATTATTCTGTTTGCACGTGTATTTATCTCTGACTTTGTTAGGTTAGATGTGGGACTAGAGGTTCCAAGGGCAGAACTGAGTGCGTTTCAGGTTCAAATTCGTTTTACCCTGTACTCTGAGAAAGGTCAGAGGAACACCTTAAAAGTGCTGTTCTCTCTATATCAGTACAATAGGGAACAACCAGCTCTAAAAAAAAAAAGAGGTCCATACTGGTCATCTGCATCAGGACAGATTGATTGTTCCCTGGAATCTAATTAAGTATTCAGAAGCCTGACTCAGCAAAGCTCATCCAAAATTACTAACGCCATACTGGACTCTGACCTAACACTAGCCAGTCCTGACAAATTCTGTACAGCAGCCAGCAAACTACAGGGAAGGACAGAGTAACGACCAGGAACTGTACGGACGAGGAGTATCAGAACTAAATCAGGTCTGACCTCAGCTCTGCACCACCACGTGAATCGGGGCATCCAACCATCCTTGGACTGGATATTACTGGGGACTGTCGCTCAGCTGAAGTCCCATCCACGGAGGGAATAAAAGCAACAGTTTGCAATCCCAAACACAAGTACAGGCTGGGCAGAGAGTGGCTGGAGAGCAGCCTTGAGGAGAAGGACTTGGGGGTACTGCTGGGTGAGAAGCTGAACATGAGCCAGCAATGTGCACTTGCAGCCCAGAAGCCAACCGTATCCTGGGCTGCATCAAGAGAAGTGTGGCCAGCAGGGAGAGGGTGGGGATTCTGCCCCTTTACTCTGCTCTCGTGAGACCCCACCTGGAGTCCTGCATCCAGCTCTGGAGACCCCAACACAGGAAGGACATGGATGTGTTGGAGTGGGTCCAGAGGAGGGCCACAAAGATGATCAGGGGGCTGGAGTACCTCTCCTACAAGGACAGGCTGAGGGAGTTGGGGCTGTTCAGCCTGGACAAGAGATGGCTCCGGTGTGACCTTATAGCAGACTTCCAGTACCTGAAGGGGCCGACAGGAAGGACGGAAATGGACTTTTTACAAGAGTGTGTAGTGACAGGACAAGGGGGAATGGCTCTAAACTAAAAGAGGGCAGATTTAGATTAGATATTCGGAAGAAATTCTTCCCCAGGAGGGTGGTGAAACACTGGCCCAGGTTGCCCAGAGAAGCTGTGGATGCCCCCTCCCTGGCAGGGTTCAAGGCCAGGTTGGATGGAGCTCTGAGCAACCTGGTCTGGTGGAAGCTGTCCCTGCTCATGGCAGGGGATTGGAACCAGATGATCTTTAAGGTCCCTTCCAACCCTTATCATTCTACAATTCTATGATTCTATGAACAGTGGAAGAATTCTACTGCTGGCTTAGTTGAATTCGTGACTCATTTTTCCACTCGACAGCAGCCATGATTGCTTGGCTAGGCCTCCTTTGCTGAGAGGCAGAAGGAAGATGAGGAGATAGGCACAGAACGCACCAAAACCTGCCTTCTCGAGAACACCTCTGCTTGCAGACAAAGGAAGACAGAAACAAGAATTTAATTCATCCCAGAGAAAATGACTTCTCTAATCAGCAGCAACATACCAGAGGTTTCCAAGACCAGTTATTTGAGTTTTCATCACAACTGATGCCTGAGATGAATGCCCCACACAGCTGAGAAAGGGGGCAAATGGGTAAAACCTGGAATATGCAAG